CTGATCAAGTGTATCCCAGGACGTTGTGGGAAATCATGGAGGAAATTGCAGGGCCCCTAGCAGAAATATTTGTACCATCTCTGACCACAATTGAGGTGCCAGAGGACTGGAGGATGGCTAATGTTGGGCCTTTATTTAAGAAAGTCCGTAAGGAGAAGACTGGAAACTATAGATTTGAAAGTCTGATATCGGTGGTGGGCAAGTTATTGGAGGTGATTCTTAAAGATAAGATTTACATGCATTTGGAGAGGCAAAGAATGATTAGAAATAGTCAGCATGGTTTTGTGCCAAGGAAACCATATATCTCAAACATGATTGAGTTTTTTTGAGCAGGTAACCAAGAAGATTGAAGAGGGCAGAGTGGACATTGTTTACATGGATTTTAGTAAAGCCTTTGATAAAGTTATGAATGATGGACTAATTAGTTAAGTTAGATTACATAGGATTCAGGGTGACCTTGCCAATTTGATATAAAATGGGCCTTACGGTAGGAGACAAAGGTTGATGATGAAGAGTTGTTTTTCAAACTGAAGCCCTGTGACCAGTAGTGTTTGACCGGGATCGGTACTGGGTTCACTTTTCTTTCTCATTTATATAAATAATTTGAATATGACTATGTTACACCAAAATTGATGGTGTACTGGACAGTGAAGTGGTTATCTAAGATTACACAGAGATCTTGATCAATTGGTCAATGGGCTGATGAGTGGCAGATCGAGTTCAATTTGGATAAATGCAATGCATTGCATTTTGGTAAAACACACAAGGGCTGGACTTGTACAATTAATGGTAGGGCCCTGGGTAGCGTTGTCAAACAGAGACCTAGGGGTTCAGGAACGTAATTCTTTGAAATTTGCATCACGGGTAAACAGAGTGTTTAAAATGAGTTTAGCACACGTCTTTATTGCTCAGACCTTTGAATATAGGAGTTGGGACATTATGTAGAGATTGTGCAGGACATTGGTGAGGCCTCTTCTGGAGTACTGTGTACAGTTCTGGTCATCCTGCTATAGGAAGGATATTATTATGCTAGCAAGGGTTCAGAAAAGATTTAGCAGGATGTTGCCAGGAATGGAGCGTTTGAGTTATAAGGAGAAGTTGGATAGGCTGAGACTTCTTTCACTGGAGCATAGGAGGCTGAGGGGTGACCTTATAGAGGTTTATAAAATCATGAGAGGCATAGATAAGGTGAATAACAAAGGTCTTTTCCCCAAAGTGGGGGAGTTCAAAACTAGGAGGCTTTTTTTAATGTGAGAGGAGAAAGATTTAGAAAGGACATGAGGGGCAGTCTTTTGTTTTTACACAGAGTGGTTAGTGTGTGGAATGAACTACCAAGGGAAGTGAAAGATAAAGGAACACTTACATTTAAAATACATTTGATCAAGTGCAAAATAGGAAAGATTTGGAAGAATATGGGCCAAATGCAGGCAGGTAGGACTAGTTTAGTTTAGGAACATGTCGACATGGCCTAGTTGGACTGAAGGATTTTTTTTTTTTTTTTTAAAAACGTGCTATATGACTCAGTTGGAATTATGCCTATCAGTAAGCAGTGGAGCATAGGGCCAGGAAAAAAAAAAGTGAACCATGGGACTTGAGTTGTAGTTGAGGCAGTCCATGATGGAATGGCTTTTGAGGAACTTCTGAAACTGGGTGTTTAAAAAAAAAAAGCTTTGGAATTCCATGTATAAGATTTGGCAACTGTATCGTGAATGTATGGGAGGGGAAATTACTGAGAAATCCGTAGGACCTATCTTGACCACATTTCTTATTTGATACGTTCTGTGAGGTGTTTGACCAAGTTAGTCCGTTACCCTTATTTACCTCATTAATTCTGGGTGTTAGAATATAAGCTGCATTGCTATTTTAGATTGTTTTACTTTTCTCACTTTGTATAGTAAAGTCTATTTTTGTTCGCTCAAAACCATGGAATTTTACGGTTTTATTTGCTTGGCAAGTATCTGATTTCAAATGTTCTCAATTTTAAAAAAGCATCACCAGGCAGGTTGTAATAGGAATTTGTAGCCTGGCCCAGAATTATAACACGTTAAAGAGATGGACTTAAGCACTTAAAGACCACAATGAATTTTTACCTTTATTTCTTTATTTTTCAACATAGTATTAAGAATGACTGTAATATTAAACTTTTGATTTTTGTTTAAACACTGTACTGAGTGACTGTAATGTTTAACTTTTAACTTTATTCCTTATTTCTTTCTCCCTTGTTCTTAAGTTTTTGTATCTAGATACTTGTAACTAACAACTGTGTGGCAACATTGAAACTTTTCACTGTACTCCTGTACTTTCATACTTGAGTACACATGACAGTAGTGTAAATCAAATCTAAATCTACTTTAACTATGGCCTCAAATATCCTATACTATCATTATCAATTCCCAGTTCCAGAAGTCTGCAGTACAAAACAGTATAACCAATGGGAAAAGTGTAATGGGACACATAGCAAGGTATTTTGCTCCAGCAAATTCTAGGTGATCCAAATCAATAGAATAGATATGAAGTTCTCTTTCATGGGGGTGGAGGCCAGAAGTATAGTGAAGGAGCAAAGGTTCAAGCAGAATGGGGCGACAGGTAGGAGGTAAATTTGGAGGCAGAGTAAAGGAGACAATAGAAAGTTTACAGCACAGAATGAGGATATTTGATGTTACGTCTGCTGACTATTTGCAGGAGCATTTCATCCAATATTCCCCTGTCTTCACACCTCGTCCTGTACATTTTAGATAACAATCCAGCTCCCTTGACTGCATGGAGCCCGCCTCCACCACATTCTCAGGCAATGGCAATGCATTCCAAATCCTCACTGTATAAAAAAGTTTTACCTTTGTTGCCATTGCAGCTTTTACCTTAAATCTATGCAATCTGGTTTTTGATCTTTCCATAACTGAGAACAGTTTCTCCTTTGATACTCTGTCCAGTCTCAAGACACTCAAATTTCTCTCCTTCGAGCATAACAGTTCCAGCTTTCCCAGTTTATATAACTGAAGTTCCCATCCCTGGAATCATTCTCATGAAACTTGACTGCAGCTATTTAGTGCCTTCACATCCCTTCTAAAGTATGGCACTGAAAACTAAACTCAATGCTCTCGTTAAGATCAGTGTTCTACAAAGATTTATGAAGTCCTTGCTTTTGTACTGTATTCCCTGCTTAAAGCTGAGCATACTGTATATTCTGCCCTGCCATGGTCAATTACTTATACCGCAAACGTTTTATTAACCAGCATCTTTATAACCAGGAGTGTGCCGGTTGATCAAGAGCGTGACAATACTGTGGCTTTGAGAGATCTATTTTGTCCTTTTTGTGTAAAGAATAGTTTTAAGACAGAGCTGCTGAGATGTTCATTGAAAACTGTTAAAGTAAACAGCTTGCAAAGCTTTGGGCTCTTATTCAAAATCTGGAACAATAGAAGCAGCCTGAATGGGACTGGTCAAGCTCTCAACTAGGATTTTTAATTTCTTAGATTTTCAGTAGCAGTTGTTGCTGGGTCTATTATTGTAGTACACCTCTCCCTGCTGTACTCTGAGTTCTGTTGATGTTTTTCTTCCTGGGCTACTGGAGTTGCATATGAGACGATCGGTTTTCTGATTTTGCCTTTTTCAGAGTGTACGTTTATGGTTGTTATTATATTGGAACAGTTAATTAATAATAATTACTGAATCTATTATTCTGTTAAGTTTTCCAATGGATCCAATTCTTTTCTCTGTTGTATTTTAACTAGAATGTATGAATAAATTGTGTTTTGCTTACCATCAATTAATTTGACCAATTCAGTTGCATCTGGAATGCAGAACCTTACACTTGCCTTTAAAATAAGAAAAAGTTAGGGTCTAGACTATCTTCTTAATATATTTTGAGGAGGTCCATAACAAGAGGTCCACATAATCAACATAAAAACACACACCAAGTAACAGAAACTCTATGCAGGGGGTATACGCACACATTTTTATTTACAGCATAAATCACTTATAATAATGCAACTATGCCTTAGATAAAACTTACTGGTAGGGAGCCTTCTCAATCGCACCCTTGGCCAACTACTCAGATATAACAATAATACAGTAAACTTCCAGTATTTCAGTGTATAATTTTTGTCGGTTTATCAAGAGTCCTGGTTCAAACAAAGGTTGTTGTACACACAGAAGTTACTGTTACTACACTCCCTTTAAAACTATACCATCTCTCTGCATTCTTCTTAGAAAAGTGAATCAGTCACGCTTCTTTGCATTAAATCTCATCTGCTGCAATGATTCCACAAAAAACTTTGACATTCTAGTCCAAGAAAAAATCATTACACTGTTTTCTGTCAGTAAACCAATTCCATATCCATGTAGCTACAATGCCTTTTATTCTATGAGTGTTACCTTTTCTGACAAAACTATCATATGGCACTTTATCAAATGCCTTTTGGAATCAACTGAATTATTGTCAGCAAACGTTTGTGTTACTTCTTAAAAACACTGAAGTGAGTGAGTTAAGCATGATACCATACAAATTCAAACTGACTTTATGTAATTAACTCACATTTGTCCCAATTAATCATTTCTAGAAGTTTCCTCACCAAAGTTAAACAGTTGGCCTATAGTTGCTGTTCTTTTACACTTTCTTTTCAAACTAGGGTGTCATAGTTAAAATTTTACTGTCTTCTGGCATCACCAAGTCTAAAGAAGACTTGAAGATTATAACTAGTGGAAAGTGACAGCTATTTTGCTAATGCTTCCTCCAGCGTGTGTGCCTGAACTGACTGTAATTTTATAGTTTCTACAGTTACAGTCTTGTCTGCCAACATTTTAATTCCTATTTATCTGTCTGATCTATTCTTACCCCATTGGCTTTCCCTCCCATTAATTATTCCTTCTCCGGATTGTTCTTTGTCCTTTTCCATACCTAGCCTAAATTTTATGATACTGCGATCCCTAAAAGGTCCCCCTTCTCAGTCGCAGGACAAAATCAGAGTGTTTCAATGTAAAAATGAAAATGTCCGTTTTGATTAATTTTTGTAAACTTTATTGAAATTGTTGTGCAGCTACAAATATGTATTAAAATAGGTACACCAGGTTAATGTGCTGGGAACTCCATAATGGTAATCAGTTCCCAACTGGTCCAGGAAGTCTCAACAATCTTAAATGATATAAGCAGCAGCCCAGAAATAGCATTCTACCAGACCAACAGTACATAAGCACGTAGCTACCCATTCTGGTGTACCACAAGATTTTCTACACTGCAGTGAACATACAGCTCCCCATTCCTCCTCCATCCCTGCAGCCTACCCCTTAAATGGCAAGGATTTAATTCACCAATCATGTCCACAAGCCACAAAGGCACTGCAATAAATGAGAAACAAAATGGTTCAGTTGTGCACATCAAAGCCATGAAAAGACAAACTGAGATGTTGAGTTTGGATATACATTGACCAAGTGAAATCTACACTGACTTTACAATCTCTTTTAAGCTCTGGAAGTTAACCACCAATATCGCTCATCTTGGCAACAGGATCTCAGAAATATTTCCAAATCTTTCACAGTGTTACAATAATGTACATGTTGGGTATTACACATTAATATGATGTGATGCAGTGTCATACATTAATAGAGTTTGAGTAGTGAGATGTGTGTTGGTGCAACATAATTTTGAGCTTAAGTCCACTTAATTTAGAATCTGGTAGTGATTTCAGTCTTTACGATTCAAGTAAAGTTGAATTCAAACTTCTTCAGAACTAACCAAACAACGTGAGAAATTCTGATCAATTAGTTTAGGTTCATATTTAGAGGCAGTAGGTCCACCTGAATGACAGGCGTAGGTCAGTCTAGATTGGCAGTGCTTATCCAGGAGGGAGATAGAGGTTCGATTAAGATGCAAGTATATCCCTTTCATAGACACATGACACTAAACAGCAGTTCTCCCCACATTCACATTTTTCAGGAAGACAAATGCACATGCTTTGCAACAACGATTGTATGTGCTGCAGCAGGTAGGTCAATGATGTGAAGCTAGTTAAGGAAAACCTCTGTGCCATACAGCGATTGAAGTCCACAGAATCACCCAGCTATGAGTGAAATCAGTAACCAGTGATGACTAAGGCTACTTTGCAGAAAGATAATCAACCGTTAGAAGGGTGCTCAGGCTTTTCCACACAATCCTATACACATGCATTAACAATCCATCAAGGAGGCACGATCAACCCACAGCAGAGCATTCTGTCAGCATTCCTAGTGGGGTCTTAGCACCCACAAACAGACTTGAGAAAGTGGTAAGATGGAGGTTTAGGGTTGTAATTTGTGTCATGAATTTCTTATTGAACAAAAACATGAAAACTTAGCAAAAAGTAATCTCACTCAGCACTTCACACTTAAGAAATACTATGCTCAGACTTGCTTAAGGAAGGCGCATGGCTGCTACTCTCAAACCCATGTGCAGGACAACCCAATACCTACACCCATCCACAGGACAGAACAATGTCTAGCCTCATCCAGTCCAGATAATACAGGCATGCAGCAGCTCCAATATAATATGTGAGAGACCTAGTACATTCAGAAAGGAAAAACAAAGTACAGGAAGATGCAGAACGAAATAGAAAAATAAAGAGTAAGTTATGGTCTAGATACACAATTCCATGAACACGGAAATGAGCTACTAACAGTCACCAACATTTTAGAATTTGTGAATAGGGACAAAGAGTGAAGAACAAAGTCTGTACAAGTCAATAGTTTGACCAGTTAGAGGACAGTATCATTTTAAATGCACTAATACAGAAAATGTATTAAAATGATACACAATGTAGTGCAAATTCACCAGGACAACAGCAAGGATTAAAGGATAGCTAGGTGGAGAGAAACAGAAGTTGTTTCCACTGGAGCAGAGAAAACCACAAGCAGATATCTAGAGGATAGCTGCACCTCCCATGACACAGGCACAGCATTTTATTTCATGTACCAACAATTTCTATTACTTTAATAAAGCGCTGTGGGTGCTGAAGATCTGAAACAAAAACAAATTGTTTAAGAAACTTAGCAGGTCTGGCAGCATCTGTGGACAGAAAGCAAAGTTAACATTTTACGTCCAGTGACCCTTCTTTAGACGCTGCCTAGACTGCTAAGTTTCTCCATAAATTTCTGTTTAAATTTCTATTACTTGTCTGGCTGAAATTGCCAATTAATGGGCAAGATCCCCATGAGCAAGGGGAATTAAATTGCACATTAGACTACACAGAGATCCTTACTGTCATAACAGGTGACTCTCAATCTCAGTTGTACCTCAGCCCAATTCCCAGTACTTCATCTGACTTTTTACATCATTTATTCAATAAATACATTATCACTTGTAAAGGATATCATTTGTTCAGCCTTCAAGTGATCAAATAATTTTTTAAAAGGAGCAAATTGGCACAACGTCGACATACATCCCACCATTATCAATTTGTGCTTGGGGCGAGTCAGTGCTACATTGAGTCTTCGCCAGTCCTTCAGTAACTCTCCAAGCTGTTAAAGAAAATCCAGTGCAGTTATTGTTGTTATCTATAATATTCATGTTTGGTGTGAAGATTCCACAGAGGTGTTCACAAGTCAAGCAATTTCAAGGTTTGTGTTTCATTCTTAATTATATTTTGAATTATCAGACTAATTTTGTTATCCCTTTCCCCAAGATTTGTTCAGATTTTCAAAAAAAAAATCCACAGCCATATCACATTCCACTCTCCTGATCATTCATCATCTTCTGTTGAGTTGCCGTGAGCAATTTCAAATTCTAGCCCTGGGTACAAAGATAGAATGTTACATCAGTTTGATAGGGTGAAGAAAATTAGGTTTTTTGTTAAGTGCGTCTCTTAATTCTAACCAGCAGCTAACACCGCTCAGCTTTGAATATAGAAGCAGGGATGTCTTGCTGCAAATGTACAGGGCCTTGAGACCACTCATGGAATATTGTGTGCAGTATTGATCTCTTTTAGAACACAGAAGCAGTGTCAAAGCAGGCCATTTGGCCCATCAAGTCCACACCCACCCTCCAAAGAGCATCCCACCCAGAGCAACCCTGGCCCCATGGACATCCCTGGACACTATGGCCAATTTAGCACGGCCAATCTACCTAACCTGCACATCTTTGGACTGTGGGAGGAAACCGAAGCATCTGGAGGAAAATCCACACAGACACGGGGAGAATGTGCAAACTCCACACAGTCACCTGAGGGTGGAATTGAACCCAGGTACCTGACTATGAGACAGCGTTGCTAATCACTGAGCCACCGTGCCGTTATTGGAAGAAGAATGTTCTGACCATGGAAGAAGTGCAACTAGGTTTACCAGACTCATTCCTGGGATGGCAGGACTTACACATGAACAGAGATTGGGTCATTAAGACTATATTCACTGAAGTTTAGAAGATTTAGTATGGGAATCTCATAAAAACCTATAAAATTGTAAGTGGACTAGACAGAGTAAACACAGGGAGGATGTTCCCAATGATCAGGGAGTCCAGAACCAGGAGGTCATGGTCTAAGAATACAGGGTTGGCCATTTAGGAGGGAGAAGAGGAGAAATTTCTTCACCCAGAAAGTGGTGAGCCTGTGCAATTTTCTGCCACAGAATGCAATCGAGGCTAAAACACTGAATGCTCTCAAGAGGGAGATACATACAGTTGTTAGGGCTAAAGAGATCAAACCGAGTAGGATGATCAGAATGGTGGAGCAGGTTTGAATGGTCTATTCCTGTTCATATTTTCCTCTGTTGATATCTCCACTTCTAGTCTTTCTCAATCTGACATTTTTTTTGTCACTTTTTCCCCAATCTTAACTCCCAATTAACTGAGAGATAGTAGGAACTGCCGATGCTGGAGAATCTGAGATAACAAGGTGTAGAGCTGGATGAACACAGCAGGCCAAGCAGCATCAGAGGAGCAGGAAAGCTGATGTTGCAAGTCTGGACCCTTTTTCTGCAAAGGGACACAGACAGGTTAACAAAGTGGGCAAAAAACTTGGTAGATGGAAAATAATGGGGGAAAATGTGAGGTCATGTACTTTGGCAGGAAGACTGGAGAAGCTAAATATTATTTAAATGGAGAAGGACTGCAGAAAGCTAGGACAGAAGGATTTGGAAGTCTTGAAGCATAAATCACAAAAAGCTAGCATTCAAGTTCATCCAGTAATGTGAAGTCAAATGGAATGTTGGCTTTTATTTCAAAGCAAATGGAGTATAAAGGTAGGAGGTACTGATAAAGAAAGGATACCATATTGGAATACTGTGAACAGTTTTGGATCTCTTATCCAAGGAAAGATATACAGGCATTGGAGACAATCCAGAGAAGGTTCAATAGGCTGATACTGGGTTACAGAGGCACTGTCTTACGAGGAAATGCCAAGTAGGTTGAACCTGTACTAATTGGAATTTGGAAGACTGGGAGGCAACCTTATTGAAATACAAAAAGCTCAAAGGACTTGAACAGGTAAATGTGGACAGTTTGTTTTTCCGTGTGGGCAAATCTAAGACAAGAGGTAATAAACCCTCAAAACAGGGTTGCACATTTAAGACAAAGATGAGACAGAATTTCTTCTCTCAAAGGGTAGTGAACCTGTGGAATTCTTTAGAGCAGAGGGTTATCAAGCCCAGAGCATTACGTATATTCAAAGCGGAGACTGATTGCTAATCAGTAAGAGAATCAAGGGTTATAGGGAAAAGGCAGAAGAGTTGAGGGTCATCAGATCAGCCATTATCTCATTGAATGGCAGAGCAGATTTGATGGGTTGAATGGCCAGTTTCTGCCAACTACATCTCATGGTCTTAATCCATTAAATCTTGTTTTTCTTTCTCAACAATTCTGTGTTTAATCCCTTTTGAGCTCTCTACTGTTCTCGATGTCCAGCAGCCTCTTCTTTCCCATATATTCTTAATGGGCAAAGCAAGGACCCCAACGGTGTCATATTTTCTTGCAGCTCGACATCCTGAGTTACTATTTCTTAATTCACTTCACTTGGTTTCTCTTGCTATGTAGGCTCTGACCACACACCTAGACTTAAAACAATTTCCCACAGCTGTAAACACTCTAATTATAATTCATCTCATCACTGAGCATCCTTTAAAATCTGGGAACCATTTCCATTCCATTCCAATATAACCAGCCTAACTGGAAATTGACAGGTCATCAAACTAACAGCCCATAATACATGGTTCAGCTCACTTCTAATAATTAAAATTACAGATGATTTTCACATAGGTTCTAATTTAAGAGTGGATGGATATTAGAAATAGGTTTAGCTTTCTGGAGTTACCATCCTCCTACTGAATTATACAGTAGGCTTATAGCATTGTTTTTAATACACATTAACACATCACTTACCTTTCCCTCACTGTTACTTTTAACAAAGGATACAATAATCACACTTTTGTCTCTCCCCTGGTACTTGTCCACTGTATTGACCTCAACAGCACTGAAGGCCTTGTCCCGCATCAACACAGCACAGATAGCTTTAAGCTGTTGTCTATAAGGTGCAATAATCCCAATGTTACAGGGCTTGCAGCCAACCTATGCACAAAACAAAAGTTCAAGAGTCTGGGTCAGCCACAGAAACATGATCCACAGCTTCCTTTCCACTTTAGGAAATCTGACTCCTTTATTGCACCTACAGTGCTGAGAGACTGTTAGGAAGGGAGTTCTAGGATTTTGAACAGTTGACAGAAAAGGAACAACAATCTAATTCCATGATAGGATGGTGGGTGACTTGGAGGGGAACTTGCAGGTGTTTGTATTCCCTGCATCTGTTCGCCTGTCCTTCAAAATGGTAGAAGTCAGGGGTTTAGAAGGTGCTGTTGAAGGAGCTTTGATGAGTTACGCTACATCGGTGGTGGAAGGAGTGAATGTTCAACGTGGAGGATAGGATGTCAATCAAGCAGATTGCTTTGTTTTAGATGGTGTCAGGCCCGAGTGTTATTGGAGCTGCACTCATCCATCCATCACGCTCCTGACTTGTGCCTTGTAGTTGATGGCCAAAATTTTAGGAGACAGGAGCTGCGTTATGTGCTGCAGAATTTCCTGCCTCTGAACTGCTCTTGCAGCAAAATTACTTATATGGTCAATCCAGTTCAGTTTCTGATTAATGTAGCCACCCCCCACCCGCAAGCATATTGATTGTGAGGAAATTCAGCTATAGTAATTCCATTACAAATCAAAAGTACTGGTTAGATTCTCTCCTGTTGGAGACTGTCATTGCCCGGCACGTGTGCGGTGCGGTTATTTGCCCAGGTCTGGATTATTATCATCAGTCCAAGTTTGGATGCTGCTGCTGCATATGAAAACAGTATCTGAGTCATAGAGCTGTACAGGCATGGAAATAGACCCTTCGGTCCAACTTGTCCATGCTAACCAGATATCCAAAATTAATCTAGTCCCATTTGCCAGCGTTTGGCCCGTATCCCTTCTAATCCTGAGACAACAAGGTGTAGAGCTGAATGAACACAGCAGACCAAGCAGCATCAGAGGAGCAGGAAAGCCAACGCTTTGGGCCTAGGCCCTTCTTCAGAAATCCCTTCTAATCCTTCCTATTCATGTACCCATCCAGATACCTTTTAAATGTTGTAATTGTACAAGCCTCCACCACTTCAGCAGTGAATTTCATTGTTTGTTTATTTTTCTTAGAATGCAGTAATTGTGAATGGTACTGAATATTGCACGATCAGCAGCAAATACGTTCACTTAAGATCTTATGGAGAAGGGAAGTCTAAGATAGTTAAACCCAAGGCAGTCACTACCACCTCACCTCTGGAGGGGAGCTTTGTCCATGTTTGAACCAAGACTGTAATAAGACCAGGAACTGAGTAGCCCGAATGAACCCAAAAAGAGTTTTGGTCACTGGAGTTCCCAAATTTTCTGGAATCTTCCAAGACCTCTGCTTTGAAGGCAGGTACTAAATCATTGTTTAAGTTCTCCGTCATTTCCTTACTGCATAACAATTTCTTGTGTCTCTGCCTTAGGCACACGCAAATTCATATTGCCCAATCATTTCCTTTTTACATATTTTTAAAAACCCTTAATGGATTTTTATATTTCATTCAAGTTCAACTTCCTCATTTTCTCCATAGATTTCTTGGTCATGATCTCATTTGATTTCCTGCATACCATCCGTCACTAAATACTTCCAGAGCCTCAATCCTCCTTCAGGTGTTAGTGAGAGAGATAATATCGGACGCAGAATTTATAAGTAAATGATCAAAGGTTCACACCATTCATGAGGATGTACTCAGCAAACCTAAGATGCTGTTAAATCTTTAATCAGTTAAAAGGCTTTAATTGATTAGTATGTACATGTAAATCCCCAAATTCCTTTCAAGTTTTATCAGTATAAATAAGATGTGATATTTTAGGTCAGACAATGTGCATTAGGTGTGAGACCTTGTTTAGAATCTGTTTGTGTTTTAGTTTGGAGTCAAACTGGTTTGATTTCTTAAGTAGGAATTTATAAAACATCATATTGACTGACTGTCTATAAATTGTGTGCTTTTTGAACAAAATAGAATGTATCTGCAAATACAATTTCACCCCATAGATTTGTATGCACATGCACGTTTGTGAGAGAGAATGAGGGGGGGAGCGCAGAGAGTGAGTGTGTGTGTGTGGGTGACACACACACACACGAGAATCTGTGGGATGAATTTGTGTTTGTAGATACATTTTATTTTGTTCAAAAAGCACACAATTTATAGGCAGTCAATGTGGCCTTTATAAATTCCTACTATAGAAATAAAATCAGTCTAACCCCAAACTAAAACACAAACAGATTCTAAACAAGGTCTCACACACCTAACCTGCATTGTCTGACCTAAAATGTCAACTTTTATTTACACTGAGTCCTTTAGTCCTCTCAGGACGGTGACTTGAAAGGACATCAGGAATTTACATGTACATATTAGTCAATTAAAACCTTCTAACTGACTAAAGATTTAATAGTATCTTAGGTATTTTTTCCACAGAATTTTTCACAGAATCCCTACAGTGTGGAAACAGGCCATTCAGCCCAACAAATCCACACCGCCCCTCCAAAGAGCATCCCACCCAGACCGAGCCCCTACCCCTGCATTCCCCCATGTCTAACCCACCTAACCTAAACATCCCTGAATACTACGGCCAATTTAGCATGGCCAATCCACCTACCCTGCACATCTTTGGACTGTGGGAGGAAACCAGAGGACCCGGAGGAAACCCACACAGACACGGGGAGGATGTGCAAACTCCACACAGATAGTCACCTGAGGGTGGAATCGAACCCAGGTCCCTGGTGCTGAGGCAGCAGCGCTAACTATTGTGTCACCGTGTACATCTCGTACATCCTCACTAATGGTGTGAACCTTTGATCTTTTACTTATAAATTCTGTGCCTGATACTACCTCGCTCAGTAACACCTGAAGGAGGACTGAGGCTCCGAAAGCTTGTGTTTTCAAATAAATCTGTTGGACTATAACCTGGTGTCATGTCATTTCTGACCTTGTCCACCCCAGTCCAACACCAGCACCTCCACATCATAAATACTTACATACACAATGCTATCTCCAGTGAGGCTGAATTGGAGAGAATCAAGACAAACACCTCACTCAGTCATTTGATTGGTTATAAAACCAGATTAGAAAACAATCAATCTATATTATTTAATGTAAGGTTATGAAATGCGTGAACATAATGACTGCCATTTTTGCCAGATGTGCTTTTGGTTTCAATATTTCACATTAGCATTGATCAGTGTGAAGCATACAATTCCCTCAGAGCTACGGACTCATACCTTTACCAGCACTGCTGTCAGGCAATACACCAGCTCAGCTTCGGTCAGGTTGCTCAGTCCATATTGTTCATCTCTCTCTGGAGCTGGTACCTTGGTGCAATGCAAACATATCAAACCTCAAATTAAATAACCTGTACAGACAACTAGTAAAAGAAGAAAATGCCATCAACAGAAAACGTGTGTAACCCACATTCAGTGTCTTTAACATAACACACTATCCCAAGGTACTTCACTGGAGCATCATAAAGTCTGACACTAAGCTATAGAAGCTAATGTTAGGGCAGGCCCCAAAAAATTGGTAAAAGAGGTAGCTTTTGGAGGAGTACTTTAAAGGAGAATAGAGAGGTGGGAATAGGGAATACCATTGCTTGGGGCAAATACAGCAGAAAGCAAGGCTACTAATACTGGAGAATTAAAATTGGGAATGATCAAGAGGTCAGAATGAGATAAGCAGATATCTAACAGTTATGAGATGGATAGATTTAAAGAGCTATGGGAAGCACAGGCTCTGAGGGGAGTCTAAAGACGATGATAAAAATTTGAAAATCTAGGCTTTTGACTGGAAGTCAATGTAGCTCAATGAGCACAGCGCCAGGAACCTGGGTTCGATTCCAGCCTCGGGCGACTGTGTGTGGAGTTTGCACATTCTCCCCGTGTTTCCTCTGGGTGCTCCGGTTTCCTCCCACAGTCCAAAAATGTGCAGGTTAGGTGGATTGGCCATGCTAAATTGCCCGTAGTGTTCAGGGAGGTGTAGATTAGGTGGGTTCTCGGGGGATGGGTCTGGGTGGGATGCTCTGAGGTTCAGTGTGGACTTGTTGGGCTGAAGGGCCTGTTTCCACACTGTAGAGATTCTATGATTCTACGATTCTATACAGGCAGAGTGTTTTGGATGAACAGGCCTATTCGGGGGAGAAATAGAGTGTGGCACACCAGCCAGTCGAGTTTGGAAGTAACACAGATGTGATTATGTGTCTCAACTCACCTTTTCAGTGTCAAGGAAACAAACAGGTTTATATGGCTCCAGGGCATCTTGTAGCCAGGTATCTTTCAGCCCAAGTACATGCAGCTCATTCCACTTGGGCAGCTGTAAAGTTGCAGTTGCTATTTGTTCTGACCCACATACCAACTTTCCTTCATATATTAACTTGTTGCTGAGTGACATAATCGTGCTGAAGAGATTTTAAAAATTGTTATAAGACAACAGAATTCATTTTTAGCAAATCAAATGTTTTATTTGAAGCAACTACCTGTTCATTCTGTACTGAACGTTCAGTTGAACGACCGCGTCAAGATTCTGCTCCAGATGTTTAAACAAACTCTCATCCATTCCCAGAGATCTGTTGACACAAACACACTAAAATAGCAATGGTACATGTGCAGGAGCAAAGAGTGAGGAAGAGACTGGGGTGGTGGGGGGGAGGGCACCAGACATCACAGTGTGGGGTCTTGGGATCCACGAATGGCAGATGGTGGGGAATGAGAGAGGGGAGGTGTGAGGTTTCAGGATTGTAAACATTGTTGCAGGAAAGAATTAAATTATACAGTTGATTACATTCTAAATAACATAAAACTCTCACTATAACCACATGAACAACAGCCCCTACTTCTTGGGATACTAACCAGCAGTTGTTGTAGGGTGTTTAAAACAAAATTGCTGGGCCTCAAATTTTAAAAAAGGTCATCTTAAACTATAAGGTATGCAATTGGTATACAATCTGAACATGACTGCCTAGAATCAAACATAATTAAATCAATAAAAACCAAAAAATCTGCGGATTCTGTAAATCAGGAACAAAAACAAAGTTGCTGGAAAAGCTCAGCAGGTCTGGCAGCATCTGTGAAGGAGAAAACAGAGTTAACGTTTTGGGTCTGGTGACCCTTCCTCAGAACTGATAGTGGCTGGGAAAACGTCAGTTTATATGTAGAAAATAGGGAGGTGGGTGGGGTAGGGAGTAAACGATAGGATAGAGCCCGAACAGAGAGAGAGAAAGACAGTTGGACAGACAAAGGAGTTGCTACTGATCAGGCTGGGAGGGTGAACAGTTGTCAATGGGGACTGTTAGTGACCAACAACAGGGGGTGTGTAATGGCAGGCTATTGTGATAACAAAGCCTGGTGTGTTGGGTGGGGGGGTTGGGACATGGGAGAGTTTAGGCCCTAAAATTATTGAACTCAATATTGAGTCCGGAGGGCTGTAGGGTCCCCAAGCGGAAAATGAGGTGTTGTTCCTCCAGCTTGCGTTGGGCTTCACTGGAACACTCAGCAAGCCAGAGACAGAGATGTTGGCCAGGGAGCAGGGTGGTGCATTGAAGTGGTAGGCAACGGGTAGTTCAGGGACTTTTTTGCAAGTAAAACGTAGATGTTCTGCAAAGTGGTCGCCAAGTCTACGCTTCGTTTTCCCAATGTAGAGGAGACCACATTGTGAGCAGCGAATGCAGTAGACTAGATTCTGGGAAGTGCAGGTGAAGTGTTACTTCACCTGGAAGGTATGTTTGAGCCCTTGGATAGTGGGGAGGGAGGAGGTAAATGGGCAGGTGTTGCACCTTCGCCGGTTATAGGGGAAGGTCCCGTAGGGCTGCGGGGAGGTGTTGGGGGTGAAGGAAGTTTGGACCAGGGTGTCCGAGGGAACGGTCCCTGCGGAAGGCGGACAAGGGAGGGGAGGGGAATGTGTGTCTGGTGATGGCATCTTGCTGGAGGTGGTGGAAATGGCATCTGATGATCTTCTGGATGTGGATGCTGGTGGGATGGTAGGTAAGGATAAGGGGAACCCTATTGCGGTTGTGGGAGGGCAATCAATGTTCCCACTAAACTACATGGGTGTGCAAGACCTTGCTCTGTAATAAATAATGTGAAAGAAATGAAAACGGAGAGTGAACACATCAAAAAATAATGACCACGTGAAACAACTAAATTTTAAAGGGAATATTGGCTGTAGGCAGTAACCAGCACAAATGAGGAAGCAGTAACTAAGAGAAATCACGTGGTATGTTTGGTTTTTTTTAAATCGCAAAGTTACAATCCTGTTGATCAAGTCATGCAAAATTACTGAAAACATTTAAATTACTTCTTCTTGGTGAAAAAATGGGAAGTATTCATTTAGTACCTCCGTTGTAGCTTCGTCTCCACAAAATCACCTTTACCCTTTATCAGCCACAGACTTCCTTTGCACTCCTTACTATTTATATGTTTGTAAAGATGACGGCGCACCTTTTTACGCCACTTGTAAATTTTTACTCTGTTTCTCTGGCTCCTGATTTCAGTTCTCCTCTCAACTTAGCTTTGATACTTTGGTGCTTGAATTTGCTCCCTATTGTACTATAAATCTAAAATCAAAAGCACTCATGTTGCCTTGTTTAAATTTTGCAAGGTTAGTCTTCAAGAAAGCTTCAAACTTAGATGCACTTCCTTTCCTACGCCCTCATAGGAATGAGTCTCCTTTGTAACTGAACTATTTCTTCTTTGACAGCCTCCTATAATCTCATTTACTGTTTTACCTGGTTATCTTTGTTCCTAACTCACTTGCGTCAAATCCTCTCAACTTTCTGAAATTAGCCCCTCAACCACTTAAATATCTTCACATTTTGATTGCTCCTTTTCCAATAGTACATGTAATGCTAGAATGATCTCTGTTCCCCAATGCCTCCTCATTGACGCATGCTCCATAAGTTCCATTCACCAGAATTAGATCCAGCATCATTTTTAACTTCACTGAGCTGGAAACTAAACAAGTAATGAAAGTTGAGGAAGGGTCACTCAACCCAAAATGTTAACTCTGATTTTTCTCCACAGATGTTGCCAGACCTGCTGAGCTTTTCCAGCAATTTTCTTTTTGTTGTTGTTAATGACATTTTTAATTGTGCAATTTCAAGAGTTCTTCCACCTCCTTGCCGTTTGCACGGTTTTCTCCCATCAATGCTACAATAATTAAGTCCCTAATTATCAATAGAATGTTCTTATATTTTTCTGAAATTTGCTCCTCCACCAAGATGTGTAATATAGATTACAAGCAATCACAAAACAGGTGTTAAATATTAATCAAAGTCTGAATTAGAACAATCAAGATCATTATTCCCAGGATATTAAGTAGGAGTACCTTTCATCCTTCTTCATTAAGGTTTATTTTTAACCAATATTGCAATCTTTAATTTCTTCCTGAACACTATTGGCACAAATTGCAAGTTTTCCATTCTTGCTCATTTTATTATCACAATATCAAAAATGCTCCCTTGGAAAGTATGCTGATCAGCTCACCAACTTTATTTCCCATGTTCCATGTATTCATTACAAACACTTCAGTCTACTTTGCATTTCACTGATGTCTGGACTCTCTCCTTTCAGAACTACTCTTTATTCTCATACTGTTTGTCTTCCTAGCCCTCTACACATCTACTCCCTAACTCCCTAGTTCCTTTAATTCACAAATTAGCATAACTCTCCCCCACAATACTGGTTAACCTCTCCATGATGACACTGGCCTTAGCCTATTTCAGGTGCAAAAACAGAAGTTACTGGAAAATCTCAGCAGGTCTGGCAGCATCTGTGGAGAGAAAATAGAGTTAACATTTCAGGTCTAGTGACCCTTCATAAGAATTGACTGTAGCTAGGAAAAGGTTGGTATGTATGCTGAAAATGGGGTGGGAATAAACGATAAGTATAGATGAAGCCCAGAGGGTAAAAACAAGAGTTGGGCAAACAATGGAATGGGTAATGCTCAGCCCGGAAGAATCAAGAGCTGCCAGTGAGGACCATTAGTAGCTGACAAGCATGGTTGACATGGCCTTCAGCTATGTCCAACCCAACTCCCAAACTTTGGCCCTCACCTCTTCTCTTCCCATAAAACGATAGGGACCCCTGGTCCTCACTTACCACACCACCAGCATCCACTTCCAAAGGACTGTTAGCCACCATTTCTGCCACCTCCAATGAGAGGCTATGACCAGATATATTCCCCTCCACTCCCTCGTCAGCCTTCCGCTGGGACCGTTCCCTTTTGGATATCCTGGTCCACTCCCAACACCTTCCCACACCCCATGCCATCACAGAAGGTATAACACCCTCCATTTATCTCCTCCTTCTTCACCATCCAAGGCCTCAGACACATCTTACAGGTGAAGCAGCAATTTACCTGCACTTCACTCAATCTAGTCTACAATATTCACTGCTCACAATCTGATCTGCTCTACTTTGAGGAAATGAAACGCAGACTGGGTGACCCCTTTGCACAACACACGTATGATCTGTCTGCCACTTCAACACACACCAGTGTTCCCTGGCCAACATTTGTGTCAGGCTTGCTGCGGTACTCCACTGAAGCACAGTGTAGGCTGAAGAACTGCATCTCATTTTCCACATGGGGACCCTGAAGTCCTACTGAGGACTCAATATAGAGTTCAATAATTTTAGAGCCTGAGCACTTTCTCTCATGTCCTTCAGCCAACCCCCACACACCAGGCTTTGTCATCTCATAGGCTGCTACCACAACCAACACATTGCCAGCTACCAATGGTCCCCATTAGCAGCTCTTAATTCTCCTAGGAGTACCTTTACCCATTACCGTGTCTGTCCAACTGTTATTGTCTCTCTCTGGGCTCCATTTTCACCTATCATTTACTCCTACTCCTTCCCCATCTTCAGGATATATACTAACCTTTTCCAAGCTACAATCAGTTCTGAAGAAGGGTCACTGTACCCAAAATGTTACCTCTGCTTTCTCTCCACATATGCTACCAGACTTGCTGCACTTTCCTGGCAATTTGTTTTTCTTTCTGATTTCAAGCATACACAGTCCTTTGGTTCTCAGTACAAGTGCAACAAGTTTACTTTGTACACGTTCTTTCTATGAGGATGGTTTCTCTGCTGAATACAATTCATTGCAGACAAGCTGCCTTTCAAATGTGGGTCAGACTGAAACAAAGTTGAAGTTCGTACCTGGCATCTGAGCTCTGAACAATGGGCGGTAGCTGTTGATGATCTCCCACCAATACAAACCGATCGGCAGCAAATAAAGGGCCCAGGCAGATCAGCTGGTTGATCTGGGATGCCTCATCCACAATACAAAAGTCAAACCTCCTTTGACTGAATATTGGGTGTTTCATTCCCATACATGTTGTTGCAACCACCAGCTGAAACACAATGACATACCATTAAAACCATCTGTACCATTGATCATAGTGGGGTAAGACCGACTTAGAGTTGTACAGCACAGAAACAGAGCCTTTGGTCTAACTTGTCCAACCACACATCCCAATCTGACCCAGTCCCATTTTCCAGCATTTGGCCCATATCCCTCTAAACCCTTCCTATTCATATACCCATCCAGATGCCGTTTAAATGTTGTAATCGCATGTACCGCCACCACTTCCTCTGGCAGCTCGTTCCATAAATGCACCACCCTATGCGTTAATAAGTTACCCTTCAGATCCTTTTTAAAATCTTTCCCTCTCACCTTAAACCTACGCTCTCTAGTTTTGGACTCCCACCCCCATCCCAGGAAAAAGACCTTGTTCCTCATGATTTTATAAATGTTTATAAGATTACCCTGCAGCCTATTTAGCCTCTCCCTATAACTCAAACTCTTCAGTCCTGGCAACATCCTTGTAAGTCTTTTCTGCACGCTCTCGAGTTTAACAACATCCTTCCTATAAAAGGGTGACAGAATTGTAAGCACCATTCTAAAAATGGTCTCAGCAAAGTCCTGTACATCCACAACATGACATCCAAATGCTTACTCTCAATATTTTGACTAATGAAGGCAAGCGTGCCAAATACTTTCTTCACCAGTCCATCCAACTGCAACTCTGCCTTCAAGGAACTATGTTCCTGCACTTCTAGGTCTCTTTATTCAGCAACACTTATGGATTTGTGACAGGTAGATCATGCCTCACAAACTTTATTGAATTCTTTGAAGAAGTGACCAAACATGTGGATGAAGGTAGAGCAGAGGATGTGGTATACGTGGATTTAAGTAAGGCATTTGATAAGGTTCCCCATGGTAGGCTCATGCAGAAAGTAAGGAGGCATGGGGAAGGGGGAAAATGTGGCAGATTGGACTCAGAACTGGCTGACCCTTAGAAGACAAAGGGTGGCAGTGGACGGAAAATATTCAACATGGTGCTCAGTTATGAGTAGTATACCACAAAGATCTGTTCTGGGTCCTCTTCTATTTGTGATTTTTATAAATGATTTGGATGTAGGAGTGAAAGGGTGGATTAGTAAGTTCGTGGACGATACGAAGGTGAGTCGAGTTGTGGATAGTGTGGAGGGTTGTTCTGGGTCACAAAGGGACATTGATAGGATGCAGAGCTGGGCTGAGAAGTGGCAGATGGAGTTTAACCCTGAAAAGCATGAGGTGATTCATTTTGGAAGGACAAACTTGAAAGCAGAATACAGGGTTAACGGAAAGATTCTTGGCAGTGTGGCGGAGCAGAGGTGTCTTGGGGTCCACGTCCACAGTTCCCTGAAAGCTGCCACCCAGGTCGATAGAGTTGTTAAGGCGGCGTATGGTGTGTTAGCTTTCATTAATAGAGGGATTGAGTTCAAGAGCCGTGAAGTTATGCTCCAGCGACACAAAAGCCTGGTTCGGCCACATCTGGAGTACTGCGTCCAGTTCTGGTTGCCTCATTACAGGAAAGATGTGGAAGCGTTGGAAAAGGTGCAGAGGAGATTTACCAGCATGTTGCCTGGAATGGAGGGAAGGTCTCACGAGGAAAGGTTGAGAGAGCTAGGGCATTTCTCTTTCGAACGATGAAGGATGAGAGGTGACTTGATAGAGGTGTACAAAATGATCAGAGGTATAGATAGAGTGGACAGCCAGAGACTTATTCCTAGGGTGGAGGTAGCTATTACGAGGGGGCATAGTTTTAAAGTGAGTGGAGGTAGATATAGGGGAGACGTCAGACGTAGGTTCTTTACTCAGAGTGGTTGGGGCATGGAATGCATTGCCGGAGAGGGTAGTGGAGTCGGCCTCATTGGGGCCATTTAAGCAGCTATTAGATAGTAATGGATGATAGCATAAGGTAGGGGTGGAGGTTAGATAGACCTTAGGTTTAGGGTAAAAGTTCGGCACAACATCATGGACCGAAGGGCCTGTACCGTGCTGCACTGTTGTATGTTCTATGTTCTATTAACACTCCCTAAGGCCCTACCACTAACAGTACAAATTCTGCCCAGGTTTGCTGTACCAAAATGCAACACCTCACATTTATCTAAATTGAATTCCATCTGCCACTCCTTGGCCTATTGGCCCATCTGATCAATGTCCCATTGCACTCTCCTCTGTCTCCTACCTTCAAGCCAATTTTGTATCCAATTGGCTAGCTCCCCCTGGATCCGATGTGATCGAACCCTGCTAACCGGTTTACCATGCAGAACCTTCAAACACTCTTCTGAAGTCCATATAGGCAATGTCTTCCACTCTGCTTTCGTCAACCTTCTTTGTCACCTCTTCAAAAAACTCAAACTAGTTAGTGAGACACAATTTCCCAAGCAAAAAGCTATGTTGACTAGCCCTAATCAGTCCTTGCCTTTTCAACTGCATGTAAATCCTGTCCCTCAGAATTCCCACTAACAATTTACCCACCACCGACATAAGGTTCACAAGTATATAGTTCCCTGGCTTTTCCTTTGCAGCCTTTCTTAAATAATGGCACATTAGCCAACCTCCAGTCTTCTAGGACCTTACCCATAGCTGATGACGACAAATATTTCAGCAACGTCTTCCTTAGCTTCCCACAAAGTTCTGGGAAACACTTGATCAAGTCCTGGGGATTTATCCATCTTTGTTTTAAAACTTTCAGCACCTCTTTCTATAATATGAACTCTTTTCAAGACATCAGTATTTTTTCCCCCAAGTTCCCTAGCTTCCATGACCTTCTCCATCGTAAAAATGACAAAATATTTGTTTAGTGTCTCACCCATCGCCTGTATTTCCACACATAGACAGCCACTTTGATCTTTCATAGATCATAGAATCCCTACAGTGTGGAAACAGGCCCTTCGGCCCAACAAGTTCACACCGACCCTTAGAACATCCCACTCAGACCCATCTCCCTCCATAACCCACCTAAGCTTCACATCCCTAAACACTACAGGCAAATTAGCATTGCCAATCCATCTAGCCTGCACATCTCTTGGATGGAGGGGGGAAACTGGAGCAGCCGGAGGAAACCCACGCAGACAGGGGAGAATGTGCAAACTCCACACACTCAGTCGCCCGAGGCTGGAATTGAACCTGGGTCCCTGGCGCTGTGAGGCAGAAGTGCTAAGTACTGAGCCACCGTGCTGCTCCCAAGTTCTTTTCTAATACCATTTTGTATCTTGGGCTTATGAGGCTGTTATTTTAGCATTCTGCTCACCATGTACTGTAGAATTTTTGTTTGAAGAGGCTGTCTGTGCTGTGCTGTGATGTTTGTTTCTGTTCAATCTTTAAGGAGCCCTATTCTCTCCCGGTTTACTCTTTTGCCTTTAATGCACTTATAGAATCTCTTTGGCAAATAAGAGTTCAGGAGAATCCAAAGATATCTCATGGCCCCTTTATGTCCTCTTCATTTCCCTTTGAAGTATACTCCTACTGTCCTTTTACCCTTCTGGGGATTCACTTGATCCTAGCCATGTATACCTGAAATACACCACTTTCTTTTTCTTGATCAGATCCTCAATTTCTTTAGTCATCTAGCATTCCTTACACCTACTAGCCTTGCCTTTCACACTAACTGATACATACTGTCTTTGAACACTCCATCTCATTTTTAAAGGCCTCCCACTTCCCATCTGTACCTTTACCTGCAAAAAACGCCCCCCCAATCAACTTTTGAAAGTTCCTGTCTTATACCATCAAAGTTGGCCTTGCTCCAATTTATAACTAACTTTTTGATCAGTTCTATCCTTTTCCATAACTATTTTAAAACTAGAATTATGATCACTTGCCCCAAAGCGCTCCTCCACTGATAACTCAGTCACTTGCCCTGCCTTATTTCCCAAAAGAAGGTCAAGCATTTGCTCCTTGTCTAGTAGGTACATCCACATATTCAATACTTACATACTTAACAAATTCCTCCCCATCCAAGGCCTTAACACAATGACAGTCCCAGTTAATGTTTGGAAAGTTAAAATCCCCTACCACCACAACTGTATTATTCTTACAAATATCTGAGATCTCCTTACATATTTGCTTCTTAATTTCCCATTGACTATTGGGGGGGGGGGCCTATAATACAATCCCAATATTGTGACTATCCCTTTGTTATTTCTCAGTTCCACCCTTATAGCCTCACTGGATGATCTCCCAGGAATATCCTCCCTAAGTACATCTAGTAATATTATCCCCAACCAAAAACACCACTTCCCTCTCCTCTATTGCCTCCCTTTTGTATCTATCCTAAAGCAGCTATACCCTGGAACATTAAGCTGTTAGTCTGTCGATCCCCAAGCCATGTTTCTGTAATAGCTACGATATTCCAGTCCTATGTTCCCAACCATGCCCTGAGTTAATCTGCCTTACCTGTCAGGCCTCTTGCATTGAAGTAAATGCAGTTTAATTCATCAGTCTTACCTCATTCTCTGTCAAGCTCTTGTCTGCCTTGCTCCCCTTATCAAGTATACCAGCCTCATCTTTTTCTCTTCTCTCTCTCTATTGTTTTTGTTCCCACCCCCCCACACTAGTTCAAAGCCTCCTGAGTCTCACTAGCAAATCTGGAGTTGTTGATTGGTTTGTCGAGCTGACTGATCTTCATACAAATGTTTTGTCTCCCTTCTAGGTGACATCATCAGTGCTATGCAGCCTCCGTTGAAGAGCTGTTGTTCTGTCCTGCTCTGAATTTATATGGTGTGGTCAGTCATGGTGGGCAGTCGTTTCTGGTTTCTTACTGTAATGATATGTAGTTGGGTCTATTTCAAAAAGTTTGTTAATTGCGTCAGTGGTTGAAAACCAGACCTCCAGGACTTCTCGTCCTTGTCTTGCTTGTCCTAGTACTGTACTTTGTCCCAGTTAAACTTCTATCCTCTACGTCGGAGTGTATTGAAATGAGGGAGAGTTGGTCATGCCATTGGTGCTCATGCATCCTGGTGGAGTTTCCTGCCCACCTGTCCTGTGTAGTGTTACAGTTACTGCATGGTATTTTCTATA